TTCCGCCTTCCGACGGACTCACGGAGCTTCTGGGCGGCGCGCGCGGTGGCCACACCTTCCGGGCGCCGAACACCAGGGCCCGCGCATCCGCCAGGGCCCCCGTGTCTGCGCAGAGCAAATGCAGCACAGATCGCATGCCTTGCAAATAATGCGACAGAGTACCCGGGCGGCGGCAGAGCGCCACCATCACGTCCCTTGCGATTGCGCGCGGCGGCCAGGGTGAGGCCCCGGCCGATTCGCACGCTTGGCCGTAAAATTCAGTCGCTGAGGCATGCGGATACGCCGAGAGCTTCCACGCGTGGAACTCTCTCCACAGCGCGGCCATCTGGATGCGGCGCATGCGCCCCAGCCCTGTTCCCGACAGCCGCAACTCTTCGGCACGCCGACGAGGTGCGCCTGGCAACCATCGCGCGCGGATGACAAATCTTGCGCGCACCCCGTGCATTTCCCCGCCTTCGCATTCGAATATTACGGGCGGCCGTTGGAGCTTCGTCAACTGGCGGATCGCCTCTGCCAGTAGCGACGGCACTGGCACCTCTGCGCCGAACGCGGCGCACGGGGCCCGCGGCGCCGCGCCGCGGCGCCTGCTGCGCCTGCCGCGCCGCCGAAAGTAACGCAAGAGCAGATTGAGGGGCCAATGCCGCGCCAGGCCAGCGCGTTGCCCGCAAGCCCAGAGCCGGCGCCGGGCGCTTGGCGGCCTCCTCGATTATTACTTCCGCCGCCGTTACAACCGCGGGCCCCGCGCGGCGGCCGGGCGCTCCCCCACCTCGGTGGGCAAGGTGGCGCCGCGCGCGCAACCTGGGATAACGCTTCCGCCGCGTTCCCCCGCGGTCGCTTCGCTTTATCATGGGCCATTCCCCGTGCACGCGCGACAAGTGCCCCGGTAAAGCATACCGAACACTCACAGAGGCATGGGAACATTCCCCTCGCCCCCCCCGCCGAGAACTCGGAAATGTCGGAGGGGGGCGTCGCGCCCTCGGCCGCGAGCTTGGATGCCAGACATTGCAAAGCAACTGCGCCCACCGGGCCCGCAACATTCGCGGGCGCCCATCGCGATGCGCACGACAAACACGCGAGCATCCCGCTTGCGGATCCTCGCTCACGGCGCGCCGCGGTCGCCACGTGCCCGCCGCGTCGGCGCTCGCGCCCCCTTTTCCGTTTCACATGCCATCAGATGCCCTTGCTAGCGTGAGTCCCAGGGCGCCGCGCGGGGCCATGGCCACGCCACCCGGGCGATGCCCTCGCGGTGCATGGCCGCTCTCGGCCGCTTTCTTAGCGGGTCGCGCGGGGGCGCCCGCCACGTTGAGCGCCGATGGCACGCACCACGCGCTCAGGAGGCACCGCGCGGCAGCCGCCGCGAACCAGATGTCGGCAACCAGCGCGATATAACCTGGCTGGCGCGAGGTGCCGCGCAAGAGTGCACCGAGCGCGGCCTGCGAACGGGGCGCGCGAACGGGGCGAGATCCTCGGCGCGAACGGCGAAGTCGCACAACCGACCCTCGCCAGCGAAGCTCGCGACCTCTACGCGTTTTGGATGCAGCTGCCCACCGACGACTTTCTCTAGTAGATCTGGACCACAACTATCCGCTGCCACGATGCTCGGACGCCGATGGCTGAGAAACCGCGAATGTCTACGGCGCCACTGCCAAAAGAAATCTTAGCTTGGACACCGCGACTGGCACCGTAGCACCGGGAAGCATGAGCTGCAAGATGCGAGGAGTGGACGTCGAGGCCCCTCTTGGCCGCGAGGCGGGCACCTCCTGCTTGTAGAACGCGGTCTCGGGGCTCCGCGGGCGAAATGACAGGCGCCATCCAGCCACGGCGATGCTGGCTGCGAGGTCATTGATACCAGCAGGGCCTGCATGGTGTTCGCACGAACCAACAACATCGCAAACCTGCCACTGGTTTTTCAGATGCTCAAGCACCTTCGGGACCCAACGAATAATATTGCGCGCGTAGATCTTCTGGCACCTGCTTCCAGTAGTGGATACGGCTGCGCCGCGAGCAGACGCCAGCCGCGCCTCCCTCCTGGTCGTGCCCGGGGAGGTGGGCGGCTGGTTGCCCCTTGCCAGGGCCAGCGCCCTCGCCCTTGCCTGCACTGGCAATGGCAACGTCGAAGAGCTCGGCCGTGCGGGAATCAACACGGCTCTTGGTGGCTGCCTCCGCCTCGCGGGAGACCGGCGCGGCGGCGCGCGGCCCCTGCGCCTGCGGCTGGGCCGCAGGAGGAGCCGCAGGGGCAGCGCCAGGGCTGCCCTCTGGGGTTGCCGCGGGGGCCCCCGCCGCTTCCTGGACGTCGTTGGTCTTCTTCCGCTTGAAGGCCAACCAGCCTCGCCTTCTGCTCGCGGAGGCCTTCGCTCTCGGCCTTCACCTGCGCGGCCATCGGGGTAAAGTGACCCTTCTCACCAGCTGCTGGATGAACTCGCCGTGCTGCTGCTTCCGCTTGCCCCATTGCTCGATGGCCGTCTCTGCGCCGTCGTCGAGCTCCTCGAGGCCGACGTCGAGCTGCAACAAATCGCCCTCCGTGATCTGGATGGCTTCGCCCTCCAGCAGCGCCACGAGGTCGACCCCCTGCTTCCCGTGCATCACCTGCGGGGCTGCCTTGGGGCGCGGTGCCAGGATTGCGCGCATCTCCTCCTTGGCGGCCTCAGCGGCGGCGAGGGCCGCAGACATGTCATGGAGGTAGCTGGTGGCGTTATCGAGCTGCTGCTGGGTCTTGTTGACCCAGTCTACGGCGCTGTCATACTTGGACTGCGTCTCCCCTGCCGCCATGGCTGCACGGCGCGGGCTTCGGAGCAGACTTGGCCACCTGCTCTTTCAGCGATGCGAGGGCCGACTGGTCGATGCGCTTGGAAGGCACCTGGAGGGCGTCGTTGACCACGATGTCCTCTTCTTCCAGGTCTATCAGCACCTGGCCTCGCTTGGGCTTCTTTTTGTTGTTTTTATTTTTCTTCTTTTTGGGCCATTGGTCCGTGGCCGCGCCCGCCGCGTCCCAACACGCGTCGGGCAGCGGCGGTGGCGAAATACACAGCCCGGGCGGCATCAAGGGACCGAATGGCGTGAAGAGGGGCGTAGCGAATGGGTTCGTCTGGTAAGATGGCAGCGGCGGCGGCGTCCACTGAGGAGGCAGAGGCACGGCTGCACTGGTAGGCACGAGCGGCAACGTCGGCGGCGTTGCCCACTGCCCCTGCGACGGCCGCTGGGACGTATGCGGAAGCTTGAGCGCGCAGCCGCAGTGGTAGCACTTCTCCTTCGTGCGCCAATCCCACTTGTAGTTGCACTGCCGGCATTGTACATACTGTTGGGCTGTCATACTGGTAGGGTCGCGAACCCCTGGCCGGATGTCTCTGGTGCGACCAACAGAACAACACACCTCAACTGCTTGAGCCGAAATTGGAAGTTCACGAGAAGACCCCTTAAGCCAAAATGGCTGGAGGAGGAGGAGGAGGAAGAGGAGCAAGAGGGGGAAGAGGAGCAAGAGGAGGAGGAGATTGGGGACGAGGAGGAGGCAGGGCGGGGCAGGGGACGGCGGCGACGACGGCGACAAAGGGGGGGAGGAGGACTACCCGCCTTGCACGGGTCGGACGAAACGCTGAGGAAGGAAAAGGGGATTGCAAAGCCTGCTGCGCGCAGCTGGTTTCGGTCGCCCCGCCAAAGGGCCAGTCTTCGACGCATGGCCGCTTTCGGCGCGCTTGGCAAATCGGCGACGTGAGCTGCTTAGCAAATCCTCACTTTGCTGCGCTCTACTTTCGTCCAGCCCGCCTTGCCCGCAGGCCCGCATCGATTCGACAGAAAGAGGGGTGCCCTGGCTCGCCCTTGCCTCCAAACACCCCCCACTTGCCCCTCGTTGGCGGCTGGGCGTCGGCGCTAATCACCGGCGCCGCCCCGTTGATTTTCAATCTGGCGGGCGCCACCACGCGATTCGCCCGAGCAGGGAAACTATTTGTCTCGACACGCGCCCACCACAGATGTGTTCATAACATGCTGACATAACACCCGCCGATCGGATTGCTTCAGTCCGTGAACTCAAGGAGGTCCTGCCCACTCCCAGGCCCCAATGTCCGCCACAGAACCGTTTCTGCTGGCCCAGGGGCCCGATGACGGGCCCCGCGGGCCGAAATCTGGGAAAAACGCCCGGATTGAACAGTTGGTATCGTCGAAGATCTGGTGCGGGCGGTGCGGTGCTGGCGGTCGGTCGGTCAGGAAACAACTCCCGGGAGGCTTTCGCGAGAACGAATAGGGTCGATCCACGAGAACGAATAGGGTCGATGAAGCTTGGTTAAGAGGCCAGTATGCAGGATAAGGCCAGATTTAGCCCTGGATCAAACCAGATTAAGCCAGATTAGGCGGGATGAAACCAGATTCAGCTGGATCAAGCCAGACTCAGCGGAGCTAAGCCAGAATGAAGGCTTTCGACCACGGATATACTAGCGCCGATGTTGTCCTTGGCCTCCCAGGAGTTGAATCCTAATGTCGGGGTCCCCCCGAACCTTGGCCCTGAGGTCGTATCGTCGCAGATCTGCTCGGGGTCCTCCCGAGCATTGGCCATGTGGTCGTATCGCCGCCCTGTGGTCCCAAGGTCGGGGTCCTCCCGAGCCCTCGCAGTGTAGGAAAATACCCTGGTATAAAAAAACGTATCGTCGCAAATCTGGGGGCCCAGCCAAGATCGATGCGGGCGGTGGGCCAGGGTCCAGGACGACGACGACGTTGACGACGACGACGACGACGAAGACAACGACGACGACGGCGACGAAGACGACGACGACGACGACGACGACGAAGACGAAGACGATGACGAGGAAGACGACGACGAGGACGAGGACGAGGACGAGGAGGACGAAGACCAGGACGAGGACGACGACGAGGACGAAGACGAGGATGAGGACGAGGACGAGGACGGGGACGAGGACGACGAGGACGAGGACGACGACGACGACGACGACGACGACGACAACGACGGGGACGGGGACGGGGACGAGGACGACGACGAAGACGAAGACGGCCTTGGCCCTGTGGTGGACCAGCCGCGCCCCCACCGCCCCCACGGCGTGGACGCTGCCCCTGCCCGCGACGCGGGCGAGCCCTCGCAGGCCTGCCGCCGCGACGCAGTCCAGAGTATC